GCTCCCAGATTCAGAGTTCCGATCTCTAGCGCTGAAGGCTCGGAACAAATTGCGCTTCCACTAATTTTCCAACAGGAGACTGGACTCTCGAGTGTTTCCTCTTCTTATTGTCGGCCTAATTCTACAACGGAACGTTTCACTCCAAAATTCGAAGCACGCGCTCAAGGTCAGTTTTGTTCGCTAGATTGGTAATCCATCAGCGGGGATCTAATCTGTGAAGCGTTTAGAATAACAATAGATAAATTAATAGTGTTGAATTACTTGTCCTGGAAACATTTTGACCTTGAATTTTGTTTGTTTGCACGAAAAAGCCCCGCAATGTTTCTTTAATGTTGTCCTCAGAAAATAACTGAATCCATTATTTTGGAGAAAGGATGTCTTCAGAACTGGAACCGCATATTTTAAAACGATTTGAAATCAAAAAGAGAATAGGGAAAGGCGTAAGTTGAATGGATTGATGTAGGAAATGCGTGCGATTTATCACCCAATTTGCATATGTTCTTTTAATTTTAGTGCAAAATTACTCAATAAAACCAGATTGTCTGGGTATAACAATGTATTATATTCATTGATTTATTGCTCAGTCATCATAGAATTATTAAATGTCAATCCATCACTGATATTTCTCGAATAATTTTACGTAAACCGTGATCAGTGAGTATCACTCTCGGGTGGCGAAACGGTACGTTTTCGGTGACTAAACGGTTTTATAAACTAATTATTATAATTATAAACTTAATAACCATTGTGTCTGAAATTGGGAACATTTGGGATTCGATGATCGAAAACAATTATTCTCCTGAACTTGCAGTGTGAATTTTTTCTGAGTTTACCGCGACAAACTCTTTGGACTTCATCCGCGGATGAAGTCCAAAGAGTTTCGCTTTCCGTTCAGTTCAAGTTGCAAAGGTCATTAATGTCCTTAATCCGTCGAAAATTCCGAATTCCTCCTGCCTATGGGCCCCGAAAAATGTCACTTTTCAATTTCAAGCCAAAAATGCTTGTGTACCAAAGTATGGCTCCCTTCAATAGTTCATCCAGTAAATTTTGGTTGTCAATCCCTCAGTTTTTCGAGATTTAGAGCTAACAGCTTTTCCAGTAACCACACTATAGAAGGTAGTATTGGTTTCTTTACAGCTACACTTATAGTCAGCTTTATTGCCTAATCTGAGGACTCTCATCAAATCCCTATGCAGTCCTGGCTTAAGCCTCTCATATCCAGCTCAGTAATGTAGATCGATAAAACATCCAACTGTTTCTTGTCCAGTGTCATCTGAAAAGCATGTTAACTCCATAAGTTAAATTTTTCATCGGGAAGAACGTTCAGTTTGTTAAAGATTCTGTTGTCGAGATGCTTGATCATAAGCTTAACCTTATTTTTTTTAAGCCCTGACTATCCTTCGGGATTCATCTTCACGCACAATCTTCAGTTCTTCTTGTCAACTAAACTTGAGTTTCTCTCTTATTGGAGCTCACCAGTAGTGCATACCCATAGTCTACCTGTCCGGGATTTGAACTCCCGACCCATCGCATGAAAGGTGTGTGTACTACAACTGTACCAACCAGGGCTCTGTATTATTTGGTAGATCAAAATAAAGCCCCCTCTCGAATTCGGTGAAATCACACTCGTGATATTGAGTTGTATCCTTATATGGTCAGGACAATCCACACCACTTTGTGGAACGGCCTGTTTTGAGAATCTGTTTATATGACTGCTGGTTGGTACTAGAACGGTTTTTCAACAATATGTACTACATTTAACTATTTCCTACTGATGATATCAAACAGTTAACTGATTATACCGTATCATTTTGGCAATTTTTGTCGCAAGCAGGATTTACTGGAAACAATTTGTTTTATTGTTCATACAACTAGAAATGGAATATCAACAAAATTGAAAAAATATCTCTCTTGGACGGTGGATGTAGACTAAAGTAAATTTGTTGAAGACTTGGTAGTGGAGAAATTCGTTTTTTTATTTTTACTTCCTTTTATTGAATTCACGATTCAAAGTTTTTTCGAAGCGAGAGTTGGTTCATCAGAGGTCTACCGTATAATTTACAATGAGGAAAGTCAGATGGTGATGGTATCGGTGGTGGTGATGGCATTCAAACACACGTCTTTTGGAGTGAGAATTAGTTGGCGTCTTCCACTGGACCACCGTCACTTGTATTATGGAACACACTGAATACTTACAAGTACTACGGACCTTATTGTTTAGCATTGTTTTACTGATAATAAAGCAAATATATGCTTTCGTTCTTGTGATATTGTAAAGGTTGTAGTTTACACTGATCAAGAAATATGAATCACGTATCTGAAATCACGGACGCCACGTAAGTACTGAACCACACTGGTACTAGCACGACAGTATCCCACGTAACCGAGAAGCAAGGAAAAGGCCAAAGGAATAGAAGTTCGTTTATTGAAAGAAATCAGAAGGTTGAAGTAACATGTACAAAAGAAGTTTATTGGTTATCCAAGCCTCTGTCAATCGTGTGCTAGTATTTATGGCGGCGTACGGCTTCTGATTGGTTGGTAAAGTCGACCTGTGGTTTGTAGTCCAAAAGCTGTAAGGTATAGGCGCTTTGTTGACGTCACCTGGGAAGCTTGATTCATCACAGTTGTCCGAAAACTGTAATGTGTCGCCCCGTGGTTTGCATTATCTCGTAGGCTAGGATCATCACACATATTCACACCGTAGATTAGCGAGATATTTCCACGATTAGCTCCGGTCACTGAGGATTTGATCTATCAATATTGCCCCGAATCCTTCAGGCGATAAATTCCGAATTTCCTTGTTTTTATATGAAAAACCGAAAAATTAAGCATTGACCACGGTTAGAATTGAACAATTTAAGCGACAGCCATAAATATCCGGGAGAGATCACGACTAACTGATCCATGGGCATGCATTTTCTAACAAAAAGGAAAAGAATGTCTGCGTTAACAATACTAGTTACAGATGAATCACACGAATGAAGAAAAGTAACTAGTTGTCGGTGGTTTGATTGATAATTGAATGAAGTTTGATTCGGTATGCGCAGAGGTGAATAAATGAGCGCTTAGAGGTTGAACATTTTGAGTATCAAGTTTTCTCATCTGTGAAAACTGGTAAAATCGATTTGGAAAAGGTCCACAAGCATGTTTGAGGCGGCTAGCACTACTCTCAGTAACAAAAGCACTTAAGGTCCCGTATCGAGTGACTGAAGTTGAAGATGATTCGAAGAGATTTCTAGATTGTCTACGTGCACTCATCCATTGGTCCTCATTCTCTTATAAGCCTTATTCTGGCACAAGCCTGGTAATACAACAAAATACACCTCCCCTGATGTTGATGAAAAGAAAAGACCGCTTGAATTTACCTTCACGAATTGGACATTTATTTTACTGTTTCAGTTTCCTAGTGTTAGTTGGACTTGAAATGAAAATATTTCACCTATAGTGGTTCTGTCGCATTGGTCCGGTTGAATGAATTGCAGTTGGATAGTTGTCAATTATTTAAAAGGTATGACCATGGTGGTGATGTTCCCTGAGAGAGAGAGCTAGTGACCATTGGTGGATAGGTCACTCGCTGTCATAACTGTTTGAAGTTCCTGTATCTACAACATGATTGCGTAGGAAATCTCGGTGTTTCTGGTTGATTAGTCTGTTTGCACCTAGTAGCCACCATCAATCTTCCGTATACCTGTTCTCTCAAATTTGTACTCATTTTTCATACTCGATTATTTATGTCTGCGACACCAGTTCTCTCAGAGTCTTTTGCATACGTTTCACCCATCGTTCGTCATTGTTTGCCTGTCAAACGGATGCTTACATATGGATCCGGTGACTACGAAATACACAGCTGCAGAGCTACAGCAGAGTCGACGCTAATGTTACTCAAACTAAATAGAAAGAGACCTGGGCGAAAAGTTTCCTACATGGGATTGTAATGACGTTCAGGTTTAGGCAACGATAGAGATAGCAGCATGGACGCCGGTTCTCGTTGTAAACGTGGTTTTGCACAGGGACACTTCCGTTTGTTCATGTCTGTATCTTGAAGAAGGATCAAACTGGGCGAGTATAGGTTCATTTCGCATAGATAAGCACAGATTAGACAGTGAACTTATAAATAGAGGTAGATCTTTCAAAGTTACTTGTCTTGCACCTGATTCGCAAGACTTTTACTTCAACTGTGTTCAATAAACGCAGTGGAATTTAGAATATAACCAAAGAAATCTCATGATTATGGACATTTGAGTGAACATTGTTCAGGGTTGAATTGTATCACTTTAGAATGTGACAGAGTGTATCAAATATTTAGGCATTGATGCCACATATCACATGCTGATAGAGCGCATGTTATCATATGTGCCCCGCATTGTTTTGCAAACGCCACCATCAAATTCGAAAGATTTGTTTTGGAACGGTCAAACAACTGGCGTTTTCCAACTATATCCTTCGCTGGATTTTCTTAGTATTTATCACTTCAAACCCTTTGTCATGTTTGTCAAGCCCACATTTACATTCTGCTAGACTGCTTCATCACTTTTATGTCAAATTTACTCCACTAACCCGGTTTTGCGAATGGTCAACAAAACAATACCTGACTCACAGAATGGGAATACATCATATTCTCAAAGGTATGCAACAGTTTGTAACATGGGAGTGTCCATCAGAATGCTTTTTGAAACATAGCTGGAATTGAACTGCGCCTACGGAAAAGAGGAGTAAACAGATGGATGGGAAAAATTGATCGATCACTGCTGCGAAGAGATTGCATGTGTCCGTGAATGAGATTCAGTATTTGACCGAGTAAAACCAACTGCACCCTCAATCACTGTGTGTGTGTAATTAGTGATGCGGGAAATACGTACTGCGTTTAGGTGGGGAACGAGGTAAACGATATTTGTATCAAGTGAAAAGCTGTGCCAGAATAAAGTAGAACAAATATCGATGGGAATAAACCCGACCGTTCAAAAATCCGAACTAGGTCCTTTTCGATCTTGTGTTCAAAAATGAAACTTGCTCTTCAGCATTATTTCCCTTTTGAGTATCTATTGCCTCTTTCAAGAGCTATCCCAAGGGTAAGATTAGACAGCAACTAAAACATATTTATTCCAGTACTTCCAATCAACAGAAATGTCTTTCAATTTTGATGAGATGTCATAAGTTTGAAATAACTGTGTGCGGTTTTCCCCACCTTTTAATTTCATGTTTTCTTTGCTCTGTAGATGACGTAATTCGTGAGGATGACGAGTAAAATCCTCTGCTAGTCTGTAATACTAATCGCTTTTAACGTATTTCTTACTGTGGAGACTATTGCTGAGTTGACTGACCTTAAATTCCCATATTAAATGCAGTTCTTAAACAAAGTGAAACGATATAATCTTCTGCTCGATGGTCAAGGTGCACTATACTCGCGTTCTGCATCTAAGGTTCTGGGTTTGCTGCGCATTTAGATATATGCAGTAGGTATATACAGCTTAATCACAGCCATGACATCCAACTGTTCAAATTCACATAGCCGCGGTTTGTAGTATTTTTCTTTACGATTGCGAGACCTGGCCTCTCCGGGTGGAGGATGCTAATCGGTTTTCTGTATTCGACCATCGATGCTTTTGAAGCATTGCTTATGTCCGTTGGGAACATTGGATGAGCAATGACGAGGTTTATCGTCATATGTTGGGTGCGGATATTCGTTTTCTAACAGAATTAATCGCTCTATACCATTTCCTATGGCTCCGCCAGGTTCTACATATGCCTGCTCATCGACTAC